ATAAGGAACACTTTTTTCATCAAACTGCATACAAATTTTTCCATCGGAATTTTGACTAAATAGTATATATATATATAAGTGAATAATAAAGTAATATATATATATATATATATATATATTATTTTATACTATATAGAAGTGGGAGTTAAGGGGACATGATACCAAATATGATATAAGACAATGGCAATATAGTTGTCATCTAAAAAAATACAGCCAATATAACTATTCCTACACTATTTCATTAAGTTGTTTTTTTCAAAAATAAAAAATCAGAGAGGATTTTCACGAGAAAAAAAATCATCACAAAATTGCTAGACTCTAACCCATTGTAGACGTCGTTGGCTTCTTGCTATTGCAATTGAAAAGGACAGGTCCTCTGAGACTTCATATGTTAACCAACATTCAAATCTTTTTTCAATTTCATGTGTGTTATAACTAAAAAACAAAAGAACCTAGTTGCTTCTATACTATCAATTTCTCTATTATCGTGGCAATACCTACTTCTCTTGGAATTTTCAAATTAAAACCAACAAACTATTATCGGCTAAAGCTAAATGTTTCAATTATCACGCTTAACTGATAACAAAATAAGTTCGTATAAAAGAATGGATGCAACACTCTGGAGATACATAGAGGGCAAAAAATTAAGGAGATAAGATCATTCAGTCCATCACCATTGTCAAAAGAAGTTTTACAATCAGAGAGAGTATACACAAATTTTAAACAAAATTCGCAAGTTCTATTTCAACAGTAAATAGTCTTCAGATTAGTTTTTTTTTCTTTTCAATAAGGACTGTTAGGAGGAGGAAAATTTGAGATACATTACCTTGATCAGCCTCTGTGTTCATTGAGTCTAAACTGGTCGGTATCCCTTTCTGTAACTTGCAGTTAAAAGCTAGAGGTGTAAAACAAAGAGAGTTCGCCAATAAGACAATTAAGTTAGTTATTTATGCAAATGTTGGGAAAAATGAAATCTTTAAAATCATAAGCGAAACAAAAACATAAGCAAATAAAAAGAAATACACGAGGAATGGCAAAAAGCTCAATACATGTTAACAAGAGAAGTGGTACCATTCACCAATGAGGCAATGTGACAAGACCAAGTCTATTGTACAATTTTAAACATTCAAGGAGTTTAAAAAGAATGCAGAAAATTCAAATTTTACTTAACAATGTAAACAAAATATAATTTCCATTTTTTAAACAAGTGGTGAACGTCAAATATCCTTCAATAGATAATTACATATGCATACTTTATTAAATCTCGCTACAAATAAAAAATGAAGATGAGAAGAATGATCAAACCACTTAAGTGTATAGGAACTGAATATGTTCGAACAAGTGATTGCACGCTTAGTCTCTTAGTGCAGTAGGTCAATGAAGTTGTTACAAAAAGAAAATACACTCCGGGCGCAATCACTTATTTGAAAGGCAGAAGAATTGAATGGCAAAGAGAGAAGGCTCGGCGGGGAAGGAATGGAAAATTGTCAAATATGATCTTGTTGACAGAACAATGGGCTGAATAGCGAGAATAATTCCTTGAGCCAGACTGGATTTCTAATGCCTCGACAAATTGATCAAGATAGATGACAACACTTTTCTCCCGTTTTTCTTACCAAGAGGGTAATCTTCTCTTATGACTTTCACCCCTGCTCGAAAATAGAGAATGAAGCCCATGTCTGATCCATTTATTCTGCAAGTAGGGAGGATCCAAAGCGTTGCCTCATCCTACATATCCAGTTGCTAGACACTTTATTGGTCTGACCATCCTCTCATTCTTTAATAGGTAGGGATAAGATTGTAGCTTAGAACAAAAGCAATACGTCACGTAATATTATTCTTATGAGAAATCTGAATGCCTGCGGAGTTGGAAGATATGACAGAACTCTCCACAGTGTTCTCCAATTGTCAGTGTCCAAGCCACCTTACACTAACCTCGACAATGCACCAACACAAGTATATGATAATTCTACCCAACAACTTTAAGCAGATGATTTTTTTTACCTATAGTGTTTTCTATAACTCCACTGGAATTGGGACCTTCAAAAAGGTATGTTATTTGATTGTGGGGACAAATGGAAGGAAGTGCTAACTTCTATAAACAAACACATACATATACCCAAAAGGATAACAACTACTACTAAATAGAATATTGAAATAGAAGAAGATAGATACACTTATTTCAGAGACTGAAGTTCAGTTTATACAAAAGGAAATGGAAATGATAAAAATTGGAATAAATAGATAAATATAGTGAAAGAATGTTAAAAGCTTACCAAACCCGAGGATTACTGGTGATGGAATCTATCTTTTCTCTTTGAATATTTGTCAAACATCTCAGCCATATCCCTTAAAATTTTCAAAAAATTTATCCTAATCTAGCTAGTGCATAGGCTTCCGAGCTCATCTTGATAGTAAATACCAAAAATTATCCAACTCGAGCATCATGGAGATTGGAGAAGAAGAGCGCTATGCCTATTTCTTTGCTTGAGTCATCTTATTTAATATAGAAGTGAGGGGAAAGAGAGAGAAAGCTCTAAAAGGGAAAAGAAAGAAAAAGTATGTGGTTTGCTAAAAAATCTAAGTAGGACGATTATACATTACCCTTGAAAATGAGCATATTTACAACCTTGTCATTGGTTGTCCTTCACTTCTAACTCTACCTATAGTTGTGTACCTATATAAATATGTTATGTCGGCCATATCAGACTTTTATATACTGAAATGAACAACAAGGGGAAAAAAAGAAAGAAAAACTGAAAAGCCATAGAGCAATAGTGCAAAGTATATCAAAAAATCACATATTGACACACAGTAGTGTAATCCATTTTGTTTCAAATTTATTTTTTATGATCAGCAGCTTCTACCAACAAAGTAGCTCCTCTGTTCTTAAAAAGGGAAGAAGTAGTATAGGTAAGTTTTAACAGTGTAATTGTTGAAAGTATTGCTCAACTTTAATTTAATTACTCCGTTAGAAAGTGTTGAAGGTACAACTCAAGTCAATAATTAACTCCCTCATCTCACAAAGAAAATCAAGAAGTTAGCTACAAACATATCAGTAAGTAGTGATAAACTGAAAAATCAATTATTTATAATAGCTATAAAATGGTTTATTCAATTATAAAACTTTTAAAAACCTCAAACATACACATGATAAGTTCAACCATATAAAAAGAAAAAGCTTGAAACTTATTATAATAATAGCATATGAACTGTGATAAATGTCTACATTTGTAGATGCCAATTTTCACCAAATAGATAAAAACTTACCTCGCTTTGTATGCCTCAGGCACATGGTACTTGAGATGGAGTTTTGAAAGCCAATATCTTACATGCATACTTGAGTTGTTTGATTCCAACTTCCAAGGCCAACTCAAGATCCTCATTGGTTGTCTTCTAACACACAAGAACCAAGGAAAAAAAATATTTGATAAGTCAATATCAATGAAAAAAAAATTATGGATAAATTCTTCCAAGAAATACATGACAAATTAAAAAAAATTACTATAGAGACATTCAAAAGAAACAATTTAACAAAAGAAATATTGATTGATAGAAAACTTGAACAAGCTATTAACTTCAATTGCATTCTTCAATTTCTCTGGTTCGAGGATAAGCAATAATGAAAATCAAAAGGAAGAAAATTAATGTGGCAGAACAATAACAGTAGCAGACATGATCTTAACCCATAAAATTGAAAATTTTGAACACTACCAAAAGAAGATTAGGAAAATATTGAGAGAGAAAACTAATCTGATTTTGAAGTACCGGATGAAAAATCAAAGAGAACATAGAAGAGAGAGTTGAGTAGAACAATAACCACAATATCTATGAATTTAAGTTATGAAATTGAAAAATTTAATCTTGAGGAAAGAGCTGACCTAAGAAGGCACACCCAGATATGAAGATGAAGTTAATGTGTAGGCCTTGAATTTAAGTTTGGATGAAAGAAAAGTTTGGACAATGAGGAGAAGTCTTCTGGAAATTCTCCATTGTTGGAAGTTGGAACAAAGAAATGAAACAATGGAGTCTTCAAGAAACGCCGAGAAAAAGCTATTATAGAGATTTGTCTTTGAACAGAATGACGGATTTGCCCTTGGATATAGTGGAAAATTACCAAAATAGCCTTGGTCGTCCTAATTCATCATGCTTCTATATAGTAGAAACTAGATGGATATAGCCCGTGCTAAGCACGGGCCCAACATTTAGCATTTTCAAGTGGTATATAATTTGCATAGTAACTCGAAAAAGAGTATATATTGTAAAAGCTAATAGATCATTGCATAAGTTATACACATGAACTTCAAAGTGCAATAATACAACTAATTTCTCCCATTCCACAAACAACTTTACAATGCAGATAAACTATCTTCCAAATACTTTTCAATATTTATCATAAGAATAGAAGTGGATAACCTTACATAGAGATCATAGAATATGACAAAATTCATTTTAAAAAATCTATTTATGCCTTGAATCATTAGTAGTAAATTTGAGTAGATGCTCTCTGTATTTTTCAAAAGAATAGAAGTTGGTATCCTTAAATGGAGTTGCATGTAGAGCAATAAAATTATGTTTCATAAATCCATTGATGCCTCAAGTGTTTGTAATTGTACAACCTTCACTCAATGCCCTAAGGAAATAGATTCAAGAAAGTATTACTATCATTCACATTGCAAAATTCAAAATCACAATCATGGAAGAAGCCTCTTTTTTTCAATAAAAAAATAACTATTTATGATAGGAAGTACATTTAAAAAAAAATTATACTCCATCTATCCTATTATATGTTTCCCCGTTGGACTTGGCACGACGCTTATGAAAAAGACCAACTTAGAGAATGCATAAATTTAGATATTAGCCTTTCTATCGGACAAAAGTTATATTCTCAATTAGTAATCACCGAAAATAAAGAAACAAAAAAAAACTCACTCTACATTTTCTTTTTCCTTAAGCTCATATAAATTAGCCAAAGCAATGCAGTTGCATTGAGAGGAAGAGAACTCAATAGACCATCATTCTTAGTGATAACGTGTATTTGGTTTTAGGAAAATCAAGTAGAAGAAAAGATATAATGTGCACGAACTAACATGCACATACAAAAAAACAAATGGAATTAACCACCAAAGAACAAGAGAACACGTAAGAGGTTGGAACTCACAACAAATCAGTATAAAGAAAGAGGCCATATAAAATAAAACTAAGTGATAGAATAACAAAATATATAGATAGATCAATTCCAACAAAAGAAAATTACCCTGTCATAGGCGTTGACATCCAATCAAGATTTTAAGACGTCAGTTATATCATTCTTCAAATATTTCTGCATTGCGTATCTCTACTTCCTAATCATTTCGATTTGAGTTTTCGTCTGCCTGATTCTAGACTCTTGTTATATCAGAAAATTCCACAACATAAGTAGAATTAACAAGAAAAATAATTTTCTACATTCTGAAAAATCTTTATGGAAAAAAAAACCCATCCCTAACAAATTTTCACTCTTACCATTGGGAATAAAATTTGTTTTTCTTTTATGCATCCAACATTTTTTCTTTTCTTGGTTCACCTAAAAGGTTAAAAGATTGGAATTAAAAGAATACAAGTTTTAATTTAGAAACAACAAAGAAAAATAAAACTTTATGATGGAAAAAAGAACAGAGGGAACTCATATACTATTAGTCAAGAGTTAATGTAGATTCTTAATTATTATTAAAGTTAAAGAAAAAAATAACCAGACCAACTATATTCCATGGGGTCTGCTCGATTACGGTAACAAAGTGATTTTACTATGATGTCCTTGTTATTAGGTGTGTGAGCTAATGGTTGAGGGCGAAGGGGCAGGGTAGTTTGGTAAGTGCACACAAGTTTCATGGAATACGATGTTGGCAGGTTTACGTTGGATTGGTGGACTTGGAGTGGAAATCGCAGGAGACTAACTGTTGAGTAAAATTTTTTAAAGAAATTAACCACCAAATTGCATAGGAGAACAAGTAAGAGGTTGAAACTCACAACAAATCAGTATTGCATCTTGACTTGCCTCTATGAAATTTATTGCAGTGAAAATCTAAAGAGAATCTTAAATAATGGCTAAAATTAAGATAAAAGATCAAACTGAAATTGCAACACCAAAAGACAAGATGATGTCAAAGGGCAGTCCCTTCGTTGAGTAAGAATACCTATTTTTAAGTTCGTGGATCCAAATTTGAAAGCTGACCGACTAAACTGATGCTTCCTCCTTTTTGGCAAGCTGATTTGAATGTGTTGAGGGACAACATCAAACTTGGCTAATTGCATAATGTACGATGCATGCTCCTTTGTCATTCCCCTTCACGTTTTACTAACGCAATTGAACATCTCTATTAATGAAACTAAACCATCAATCACCTGCACCAATTATACTACATTCATCAGAAACAAACAACAATTTATGAAATGCATATTCCAACATATGCTTATTCTTCACAATTGTAAAAATATGACATGTTACAATCCCTCTCGAGGCCATTTTTACATCAGTCAGAAAGATTCATCATGCTTACTCTTCAGAATTGTAAAATATGACATGTTACAATCCTTCTAGATATTATTTTAAAGTTCATAAAGCTACCTATGTTACAAACTGATTATATATACCAATAATTAAACCATTTACACCATCCATTCCTGCTTTAGTAGCATCACAAGAGAGGTCTATGAAATAGATAGATCACATATTAGGTCTAGAGAGAGGAGGTTGGAAAGATCCGATCAATTTGCCAATTCTTTTTCTTGAGTCATCTCTTAATTGCAACATGGAAGGAAGAGAGAGAACGTTCTAGAAGGAAAATAAAAGAGGCGCAGGTTAATTGCTAAAAAATTAGTATTGTATAATGACCATATTACCCATCAATATTGAGTATATTTATGGTTATGCCATTGGTCATCCTAGCTCTTCATGTTTCTATACAATAGAAATAATAGAAATTCTTATTATTACGCTCCTGATGCAATTACACATAGTGCCCTTTTGGTTAGCTACACTACAGTGATGTAGAATAATTCCATTACCTATCTACTCTTTTAACAAAATAATGTGGAGCATATATGTAAGGAACTGTAACAATAACAACAAGGTATAATCAATCACATAAACACTAAAGCACGGCCAGTTGGAGGAATGAAGAACCTTAAACAAATATTTAAGAAGATCTACTGATATTTCAGATGAAAGATATCCAAAAGATTTCAAGAACTTACAGTTTTAGTAAATATTGCAGAGCTAATTCTTGCGCCTTATCATTCCTTGACAATCTCTTCCAAACTTTGGCGGCTAATTTATGTTCTACCCCTTTGTGAGGCAATAGTTTCTAGTTTCTTCACAGTGAATAATAATGATACATAACTCCATTTGGGAGCTTGAAAATCCAAAGCCTTTCTTGATCTATCATTTCAATTTTGTTGGAAATACAATACCTATCTTAGTAGCCAACCTTTGCTATCCCAGAAATACATAACAGGGAGACGTTTTGAAATACCTTCAAAAACCAAGTAAACAACAATCGTCAACTAAAGAACTCTAAAACTGAGTGCAAAAATAGAAATTAGCGAGCTATAAATTAAAAGATACTTATGTTTCATCTAGGATCTTAAAGATCTGTAGAAAGTGCGTCAGGATCTTAATTGATTAGGTAAGTAATTCGGATAAACTACAGTGTCATTGTTTGATGCCTTATTGCGATTGTCGTAGTAGCTATTTCAGATGAGATCGGTTGCCACGTTTCGGCATAAAAATGGGATCAGATTGCCAAGTTCCGGCATGCTAATTGTTTGAGTTTGAGTTCCATGAGAGCACTAATGATGTGATATAAAATGTGAAGTTGTTGGTTGTTCATAAACGTTGATGATGTTGTATATTTTGATATATATGAATGTGATTATAATGTTGTCTTGACGTGTTTATGTTGCACTAGTGGGATAGTCGCATGATCCTACCAGTACACGCTGGTTGTGTACTGATTCTGCACTTGCTCTTATTTTTGTTGAGTACAGGGCATCTTCCGGTGGCTATTGACATTTAGAAGATCTGTGATCGTCAACTTCAAATTCAAGGGTGAACTAGCATTTTCCGGGATGCCATGAAATTCTCTTTCGTCTATGTCCACCATTCCCAGACTTAGACATTGAGTTAGTTAGTTGATTAGTTCATTAGTATCTCTTGTTTAGACTTGGATCATTTGTTAGATGTTTTGGTACATTGACTTTCAGGTTTTAAGTTGTTTCTTCCGCAATAGTTCAGTATAGTTCTTTAGATTTCTTGTTGAAGTTTATGAGAACTTCATTAATTAGTTATTTAATCTGTTTTTGTAGTTTAAATGCCTTAGTTTTTGGTTTAGTTTATTGTTTTGAGTTGTACTAATGGTTCTCCCACCAGAGGATTAGTGTGGGTGTCAATCACGACGGTCTGGGGCGTGACACATACGAACTAATAAATAATAAAAAATCTAAAGTTGATAATTTGGTAACTTTGTTTCAAATGCTCCAAGAGAAAAGATAAATGGAAAAAGGACAAATATACCCCCGAACTATCATAAATGGTATGCAAATACCTTCCGTCATACTTTTGGGACATTGGTTCTCCTACCGTCCAAAAACTAGAGAATATATACCCTTTATACAAACGGGCATACACGTGTCATAATCATATCCACCGACCGACATTTATTAAATATTGAATCGACGGATAAGATTGCGTCACGTGTTCCTATTTAGTCTTCCATTAGTGTGAAGGGCATATATGCTCTAGTTTTTGGATGGCAGGGGTACCAATGTTCCAAAAGTATGACGGAGGGTATCTGCATACCATTTACGATAGTTCGGGGATATATTTATCCTTTTTTCCCAAAGATAAAACATCAAAAATATTTTTTTTTTAAAATAATTTTTTTAATTTTACTATTAAGTGTTGAAATAACCTAACTTTAAAATTGATATTTTCTGCACCCTTAATTAAAAGAAATCAACATAATTCACCATTTCAAAGGTCTCAAGATTTTTGTGAAAAAATAATTTCAAAATTACTTTGTCGTAAATGCTAATGGGAATCTTTCGTGTGCCTCCTCTCTTTAATCACATCAACCCACCGTATCTCTATCATCCTTTGAACTTCCTTCAACATGTTCAATAAAAGTATTATAAATAAATAGAGATTGAAAAATAAGTTAATCTTTTACCATTTTTAAGATAACTGTATCACTTATCCCTGTTAGATTTTGAATTTTACTGTTTTTATCAAAGTAAACATTTCAATAATAATTTATTTATTTAGCTTTATTTGCTTAGATTTTAAAGTTTTTTCCACCTCAAATTCAAAATATCGATTAATTTTTTTATATAATAAATTTTACCACTTGTTTATATGTGGGAACTTTATATATATATATATATATATATATATATTACACACGCCATAGCCCTTAAGTTTATTAATATATCCTGCAAATTGAATCACTAAATTTATTTTATGAGAGAGGAAGTTCATCAACAACGATACAAATAGCTAAACGATGGACAATGAGTATTTACCCCTTTGTGCAATGTCTCTATGACAATTCCTCCAAGTTACTTTTATGGGCATTTTAATGATTTTGAAATCTCTGTGTGAGAAAAAAAATAGAAAGTAGGGATAACGTACATATGTTTATGTAGGTTTATAGCACTTCAATGTGCCAAAACTCTTAGTCTTAGACAAGATCTCTTAGGAGTATTCACTCCATTGTAAATGCTCTTTTCGTGTCTGGAGGTTAGGTTGCCATGTCCCCCTCTGACTCTGTAACTTTTGTCTATCTTATTAACATGGTTAAAAAAAAAAGAAAAAAAAAAAGGGGATAACGTACATATGATGTGAGGTAGCGGGGATTGGAACGTGGGGTAGTTAATATTCAGGTTAGAAAATTTTCATTTATATTTTGTATTTTTTCAAGTTTTCTTTTTTTAAAGAATAGAAATCAATGCAGTTATAATAATAATAATAATAATGATAGTATTTATATTCCATGTCTTGTAAAAAAATATTTTACTTCAAATTCTAACCCTCAAATATTTAGGATATGGATAAAGATAAAACTTGAAAAGATATTTACTTTTGAATTAATAAAGATAAAGTCGAAAAGTTATAACTACTTTGAATTCAAATTTTAATTTACTTTTTTAAATTAAAAAATAAATTTAATGAGTTTGTAATTTACTATCACGGAATACTTAGGAAAAGTAAAATTTATACTCGTAAGTTCTTACTTCACTTTCCTTATTTTAGTTTAATTTTGATCAATAATTTTGTATTTTCATTGTTATAATTATATTACACGCCTTTTCTTTTAGTAAGTCTCTCAAAAATGAAATATTTATATATTTAGTAAAAATTAAATATTAGCATATAAATTCGACTCCCAATAAAATAATTTATATTTTATAGTCACACAAACACATATGACTTATTTTTAAATCATAAATTTTAAAGTATCCACATATGTTTTAAAATGTGTACCCTTTTAAATTTACATGGTATAATTTGGGAAAGAGTATAATAGAATATTTGTAGATAACATTTAGGAAATCTTTACATAATAATAATAATAAAAAATATTTAATCATTTCATGGCAAGTAATTATTAACATTTAAATCAACTTTAATTTCCTATTTCTTTGAGCAGATAACTATGTTTGACTGACTTCTTTCGTAGCTTTTAAATATATAAAATTTATTCGACAATCGAAATTATTGTCAGAAGTTACGGTCAAAATTAGAATTCGACTATTGAAATTTAAATTGTTCCACGTAAATTAAGATAAAAAGAGTAATTATTTGTGGAAAAATAATAATAACTTACGTGCAAATAGTTATACTTAAAAGTCATTTGAATGGAGGAAATGATTTCAACAACTTATATTATGATACTTTTTTACCATTCATCTATTTCACAATTTGACATAACTACGTAACTTGACAAAAACTTCAAGAAATGATGGATTAGCTAGTATCAAAGTTGTATTTTTTAACAAAAGAAAATATCATGGTATCATAATCTCCAATCACTAAATGAAGAAAATAAAAATAAAAATGTACCTTCACATGAAAGCCACAAATAGGCATTAAATAGTCATTATAATATGATTTTTTTTTTTAAAGGAAGAAGTTGTAATTTCACCGTATTTATATTCTCCATTTAAAATTATCCTAAAAGCAATTGGCGTAAATTTCTTGGAATTGATATCTTAGAAACTATAATAAGCTTGTCATTCATCTGCATATGCTGAGTTCAAATCTATTAAATCCCTTTCCGTTGCTAAAAGTTCAAAGCTTTTTTTTGTCCTTTAATGTTTCATAGTATAGACAAAGTGAGTTTGTCAATGTTAAGAGTTTTGGTAGTAATATATTTTTTTAAAACAAAACGTGGAAAGTTATTTTGTAAAGCAAACTGGTATGATTATATTTTCAAAAAACTTAAACTGCCTTATATATTGATTTTTAAATTGAGATTAACTGTTTGAAAATTTAACGTAATTATCCAAAAATTTAATTGAGTATTAAATTTGTTTGGTTTAAAATTAACTGATTATTTGTTTTGAAATAAATACATTTTTTTAAAATAATTAAATATATGTCAATAATAAAGATAAATAATTAAAAATTATTTTTTTTTGTATTGTTGACATGTGATGTTTTTTTTCTCTCCTATTATATAGATATAGATATAGATTATCATCATCATCATCATCATCATCATCATTATCTACATATGTTTTTCTTTAAATGAAGAGGTTGTGGAAAGATGGTTAAAATTTAAAAATACATTTCCACAAAAAAGGACAACATACGTTACTTTATAGAGTATCTTTTTTAAAATAATAATAAATACAAATTTACAGTTTATTCCCTATTTTCTAGAACTGATTTAAAATCATTTTTTAAATTAAAAAAAAATTGATTTTTGTGGTGCTGACACGTAAGTGCTATCACCTCTCCTATTATATAGATATATATTTGAGAAACCCATTGTCCTAGGTGAGATCTTGGTTGTTTTTTGAGAGGTTCCGCTGGATTTCGAGAATGATTTTTCGGCCAAGGAGAGGTCTTGGTTGATTTTTGAGAGGTTCCGAGCTTGTTTAAGCCTTTTTAGGCATGAGTTAGTTTCTTCGATTTTCACGGATGTCAGGTGTAGCATCTCGCAACTAGAAAGAACTAGAAGGAAGTTTAAAAATCTGGAAATAGTTACTTTTGGAAAGTATAGGGAAATCTGGAAATTTTTAAGTAAGTTAAAGTGAGTTTTTGGTCAACTTCAAACGACCATAACTCCTAGCTCAGGATGAGTTAGGTGTAGTTCCAGATATGGTTGGAAAGCTCTTGGAATGATCTTTCAATGCCGCCAAGTTTGCGCGATTCCGAGTTCGTGTGAGTAAGTTATGCTTTTTGGAAGTTGGTCTGTTGGATTAAGGAAATGTCTAATCCAGATTTTTGAAGGGTAGTTTGGTCTTTTCCTTACCCAATTAATTAAATCTGTTTTTAATAAAATAATTGGGGTCAAAACTGAGTTAGTTCAATTTAGCTTTTGAAAAATAGAGTTAGGGCTTTTGGAGAAAGAACGCAAGAGAAAGGAGAAGAAGAAAAGCAAGATTCACCAAGAATGATCGATTTTGGTTGAGGATTCACCAAGGAATTGACCCTACCAGGTATGTGAGTCTCTCATAGCGTTGGGTTC